GTATCGGAGCTGATACCAGATCCACACTGCTTGTAATCAGGAACAATCAATGGCTACCATTGCATTGCTTGGAAAAATTTCATATTTTACCTTATTTATATATATTTCCTTTAAAAAGATAATTTTAAAAAGCAAAAAAAAACCCAAACATTCAGAACATTAAGAAAATGATCACGCACATTACAAAATTTTCCAAACATGCATTTTCTAAAAAAAAAAAAAAATGAGCTGAAATGGAACTCCTCTCACAAATATTGCTATTTTGAGGAAGAGGCATCTTTTGATGGAAATGTGTCCTACAGAAATGTTTGTAATCCACCAACAGAAAACTGTAATAGATCATCTAATAACAGACTAATGGATAAGCAGTTGTGAATACTCCCAAAAATCTTTCTGAATGTCCTTGTGCCATCTGCAAGGACAGACTACAAAGATCAATTGCTTTGTGGGTATTATTTCGTAAGCATGAAAGACTATAGTCTACAGTACTAAAAGGAACGTACTTGACAGTACTATTTGGACACATTAAAATATAAGCACAGTTGAGAGCTTGAGAAATATACAATATATCTGTGGCATTTATCTAAAAAAAAATAAAATTACAGCGATAAAGTAGATGTTCTAAGTTTGGCCGACACCAAACAGGACCAGTAGAAAAACAGATATTCTGTACCCTTCTGTTTTACGCACTGATGACGAATCATAGAATCATAGAATAGTTAGGGTCGGAAAGGACCTTAAGATCATCTAGTTCCAAAGTGGGATTCAAACACAAAGCAGGGCTGTTCCTCCATCACTGACAAAGGAGTTTGTACACAGAGCTCCTGACTGTTTAATGACAGGCCTACCCTTAAAAATATAAACCCATGTCGTGGTTTAAACTCTAGCCAGACAGCTTGTTCACTCACTCCCAGTGAGTGAAAGCAATTGAGGGCCCCCCCCGGGGGCTCTCCCCTTCCCCACTCCCGGAGGAACGGGGAGGAGGATCGAAAGAGTGCAACTCCTACGGGTTGAGACAAGAACAGTCCAGCAACCAATGTACAACACAAATCACCACCGCTACCACCAACAACAACAGTGATAAGAGAAAATAACAAGGGAAGAGAATACGATACCACCGGCCAAGAAACGAGTCCCACCCGGAAGCCCGTGTCCTTCTGGGTGACTCCCAGTTACCCCCCACCCCGGGCATGACGTGCTGTGGTATGGAATACCTCCCTGGCTAGCCCGGATCAAGCGCCCCGTCTCTGCTTCCTCACAGCTTCCCCTCCTCCCTGGCAGAGCATGAGCCTCACAAAGTCCTTGGTCAGGGTAAACATCACTTAGCAACAACCGAAAACATCGGCATAACCAGCACCGTTCCCAGGCTGGAAGTCAAAACACAGCACTGCACCAGCTACCACGAAGGAGAAACATGACTGCTACTGCTGAACCCAGGACAACCCATTATGAGAACGAAGGTCCTGACTGAGGAAGATTTAAAACTGAAGCATGGAGAGGGCAAATAGGGTCAGAAGTTGGTCACAAGTTAAGAGCATGTTAATGCTTCACACACTGGATAGAGTGTTCTTGAGCTGTTTACTTTGCAGTGCAAAGCCATGAAAAGAGAATATATGTAAATAATATTTATGCATAAATAAATCAGAGTGGCTTGAAGATTCACAATAAATGCATCTCCCATACTTCTTACACATCCTCATAAATCAACATAAATTTACTTGTAGGATTTGCTCCTGTGCTCTTTAACTGTACTCCCTGTCAAAGTCGACATCTCCTTGCTAAAAGACAAGGTTACCAGGGCAAAGAATATGAAGATTTGTTCTGTAGCGTTAAAGGAGTTACGGATTCTGCTCATTTAGATGCTTGCTTTTGCACCACTCTCAAAAGCTAACTGTACCTTATTCTGCTCCTATTATAAAATCAAAATGCTCTCTCACTATTGGAAAGATCTTGAAGTTCCAAAGAGGTATACACCATTTTAATCATACAAGCCCTCTCACAAGCTTTTTGCTCTGTGTTTGTGTGGTGATTGCTGCAGTAGGATCTTCACCATTAATGTGTTATAAGCCTCAGCCAACACTGTATACATAACAGCATTGCACATGATATAACAACAATAAATTAAGAAGCACATAAACATATGCTGATGGTGGTTTCTTTCATGAATTTCAAAGTGAACTGATCTCAGAAACAGATGCGACACTAGGTTCATGGTTCAAATGAAACTCATTGCCTCATTCTGTATTTTTCTGATTCCTTTCTGATTTGGCCCACTGCCATAACTCAAGAAATTATGCCAAGCACTGGGGACAAGCCCTTAAGACAATTTACAGACAACTGGATTTGTGTGCACTATCCTGCTAATGTAATTGATAAAGCTCAAATGGTGTCCATATTCATATGCTTTCATAATCTGCATGGTTATTTGTAAAATCTCCTGTGCTTCTCTTTTTCTTTTTTTTTTTACTCAAAGAAGAAAAAGCAGAGCTATTTCTTCTCTTAAAGAGTAGAATAAGCAAGCCAAAATATAGATACAAACCACAAGAGAATGGTTTCCTCATAAAAGTGAACAAAGAGCAGCAACAAGCTAGAAGGCTCAAGAACAAAGTATAAGGACAGGCTTTTCTTGGTGCTTTTCTGACATGGAATTGGATGGATGGGTAAAGCTCACATCTAGGTAAATGTCTATTCTATCTGCTGAGCTTAACAGGGTATTTTGTGACTTTTCCACAGCATGAAATGAAATGAAAGAGGTAAGCAAGGAAAAGTGAAGCTTTATTCTGTCTCTGCCACAACAGTGCCTAGATTAGGAAATTATTCTGCTACCCTCTTGAGACCAGAGTGGCCATTGTTACCAACTGCTCTGACCTTCCATTCAACAAAAGTTGTTGAAGATCATACATCTCTGTTGATTTCTGCATCCAAATCAGATAACCTGGCTGAGCTGTAGCAGAGCTGGCTTAAGGCTTTTCTCAGAATTAGGTGCAATGCACTGTTCCAATGATTCCAGGGAGCTCATGGTAACAAGGACTTACCAGAGACCCCAGGAAGAAGGAAGGTCATCACAGAGAGGTCTGGATAGGGAGAAAAGATCAGACAAGATCAGCAGAGGTTCCAGGTTGAGAGGAAGAGCAGTGAACAGAGACTGGTGTTTTTTTTTAAATGGCGTGAATTTTACTCTCTGCCTCCAGACTAGTTCCTACCGTGATTTGGTACCCTCAGCCCCAACCTACCCACTCCTAGGATTTCTTTTGCTTCCCCCAGTCTCAGAGAGAAAAAACATCTCTCAAGACTTACAGTTCTTCCCCAGTTCCCCCTCCTACCGCCCCCCCCCCCCCCCCAGTATTAAATAATAACATCACGAGGATCTGGTGGTACACAGCTAAATGGGTAAATGGGTGCAGTATGGCAAATGAGCTGGAGGTAACAAGGAATGAGGGAAGATCTTAAAATTTCTCATTTATTCAGCATCTTAAATACATCCCAGGTGTAGGAGAGTGATTCCAGTAGACAAAGTCACTGAACTTAGACTGTTTCCATTGCATGTAACTACTTCCATATTATCCCTTTAATAAATTTAACAAAGTCCATCTGGAAAAAAAAAACAACTGAACCTGTCTTTTGTCTTCATTTCTACTATCCAACCTGGAATGAGCTTTCATTTCTCCTTCTTTGCCTGTTATATTAGAAATCATCCTCTTCTTTCCAGGATAAATTTAATCATAGCCAATTTGTGCTCTACTGGTCAAATCCACCATTGCCTTTTAGCTTACATAGATCCTACCTCTTTTTGGCAACTCTGCCCCCAGTATTTTTGTAACTACAGGTCTTGTCAATCTTTTGCTGGCCTAGAAAATCAGGCTCTTCCAGCTGCCTCTTGCAGAGCAGTTTCCATTTGCTTGATCATTCTTGCTGTTCTTCTGCACATCCCTCCTGATCAAATTTAGGTCACCAAAAACGCACCCAGCATTCCAGATGAGGCCTTACGGAATGAATATTTCCCAGGTGGTACTGAATGTGCTCCTTCTGAGACTTTCAAAGACTTCCACCTGCAGCTTTTATGGCTGCATTACTCTCGTGGTTCAGTAAGTGACACTGGCACTCTGGCTGATCTGAAAGCATCCCCAGTCTTTTTTGTTGTCTGTCTTCCCCAGCTGACAAGCTTGCCACAAAAATCCCTATCACAACATTAATTTCTGTGCTGTTTAATGTATTTCTTTAAGTCAATTACTAGATTCAGGAATCTAGTTCTGTGCCCTAATATACAATCTTGACGATGACACTGAAGTTGCTTCATTACTAAATTTCATAGTCTCAGCTCTACAGATAATGCTTTAAACAATCCCAGAACTAACCCTTGAGGAACTCCTTTAAGTAGCTCCCTCCTGTCTCACACAGTGTATTTACTCTGTTCTTTACTTACTGTATTCCTTCCGTTCACCCTCATCTTCCCTGTCTGAAGTGGTGTTTTTCACCATACAGCATGCTAGTGGCCTTTATATGAAGTTCATTGTCCAGTTCCAGGGAAGGTATGATTAAGATCAGCAAAGATAGAGCAGGAAGGAAGTAGCCAAGTTTGTTTAAAGTTAGTGTTCCCTGAAAATGGAGACTCTGAAACCAACAGATTTGTAGCAAATCTGCCAGGACTGCAACAATTTTTACATAGCCATAGTAGCAAAAAACTGCAGGAGGGTTAGAGTTTGTCTTCTACCTACCTCTGCTCCCCTTCTATTATTATATTACTTAAGACTTGCAATTACATTTATTAAGCTTAAAAACCTCTCACTCCTCGGAAAACATATCCAAGCATGAGGCAGTTGATGGAAACTGGAATAGGAAACAGGTCAGGAATCTAGGGGCAGCAACTGCTCCATTCAACATGGACAATCTGGTGACCGTGTACACCCCATGGCAGACCTGAATTCTGCTCCAGTCAGGCATGCAAGTGCAATGTCAAGGACACAAAATAGCTGACCATGGCACAGCAGACAGACACTCACCTTCCCCTTATGGTACAGTAATGGTGCACCTTCCTGAAAACGCCAGAGTGGATAAGCAAACAAAAAGACTGTGGTCCAGTTCTGCTTTCACCAGGGATAAATTTGGAGTCACTTCACTGACGTCAGTGCAGTTATTCCAGAATTGCACCAGTGTAAAAGAGGGCAGCATCTGCTTTCTGAAAATGGATGCCATCAAGCTAATTGAAAACAACAGATGCATCAACAAACAGCAAGAGGAGACAGTAATGTTCCCGTTTTCTTGTAAAATACCATTTAATTTCTCTCCAGAGAATATAAGAGAATAAACCAATATGTACTCTAAAAGTGAAATCTTCTGTTGGTGTAAAATTCATACAGCCTTTTAGGTGAATGCACCAATGTTTATCTACAACACCTAAAGAGATCTACTCTACACACCTGCATTTACAGCCCTTCTTTTTGGCACTCATTCTTCTCTCTCAGTTACCTAAATCAGGAATCACACCTTCATATTCTTAAGGATATGTTTATCTAGCCTTGGGCAGAGAGCAGAATTGGGACTGCTGTTTTCTTTAAACAAGCAGTGGCTACAATACCATTTAAATTTGGTTATTTAGTGACTACACTTGGTAACTAAATTGAGAAATTTGTGATTTAAAACATTTTTTGACTAAAGGTCTTCCAAAACTTTACACACAACTAAGTGTTTTTATATTCATTTAGTGGAAGTGAAGCTAAAGAAGGACTTACTGAACTTTCAATTATATTTTGTAAAACAACAGAAGTTTTCCACGAGTCTTGTCTCTAATGAATAGGCAACATGGCTTCAGTATTTAGGGTGACCAGGAAGCTGATGAGCACTTTTTCTCCTATAAAACATTTCCTTTCTTTCACTAAGAAAAAGTTTTACACAGGGGAAGTTCAATCTATTGCTCCAGCCCCTCTTAGCTTGCACTACAGAACACATGGATATTTCCTGTAGTGTTTATGAATGAATGTTTATGCTTTAAACGTAAAGCATAAGCATAAACCCCACACAGATCACAGTTATGGGTTTCCCAAAGTGTAAAACTATGCTATGATATTCAAGCTTTGCGCCAGCCAACAAGCCCCAGACTTCCCTTGAGCAAGTAAAATCCAGCCACTTAGGAAAGGCATATAGAATTAATGCGTACTAACAGCATAAGCAGCACTGAAAAAATGACTGTTACTGCAGTTCCTGTCTGCTTTTCCCCCAAAACACTCTTCTGGGTTTATTTCCCTGACTAAGGTCTTGCCTTATTTAGGACATGACCCTGCAGAAGAAGAACTCCATCTTGTAATTGGTATGCAATTTCATCATCATCTCTGGTGGCAGCTAAAGACACTCAACATTCACAGGTTCATTTTATCAGAGGATTAAGTCTTTTCATCCTGCAAGCACCTGCTCTTCTCCTTAACTTCATGTGCAAAGCAGATGGCTGCAAATCAGGGATTTGACTGTGAGCCTGCTGATAACATGGATACAATTGTCTTCAGAATAGGATTTGTCTAGAGTGTGAGCACCGAAAAGTAAAGATGAAGAGCTCAGACTGGGCTCTGGGTTACAGCAATGTGAATAGAGTTATCTTGTGCTTACAGGGCTGCAGCGGAGGGCAGAATCTTGTTTAGTCTTAAAACTTCTCTATAAATTTGTATGCACATCTCCACCACTGAGAAAATAAATAAATAAAATCCTGCTGCTCTTATTTTTGTCAATATAACCATAATGAGAAGCTTAACTTTGCTAAGTTTGGTAGACTTACTTGGACTCAAGTCACATGAGAGCTTTTGGGAAAGCTGTGGTTAACTCCTGCTGTAATCTGCAGATCTCTTCCCTGATATAGACAGGACCTCAAGAAAAGAACAAATAAAAATAAGCATTTTAAGAAATAGTACATATGTTTTGACTTGATGTAAAAGATTGAAGTTGAAGCCCAGTATAAACCAAGGTAGTTGTACTAAATGGAGTTTTGCCAACTTGAATCAGCAGATGGTGAGAATCTGGCTCATACTACACTGATGTATTTCATTATTATCTTCCCTTTTTTCACCTAGAACCACATTCTCTCTTTAGGCTGCAAATCTTAATTAGGAAATCCTGCCTCATTAATCCCAAGAAATTCTCAGTCATTAATTTCACAGAAGAAAAAGAAACCTTACCTACTTCTGCGAAAGCAGCAGATGCTGGAGCTGTTTGTTCCTTTGCTTTTAGGATGGGTGCTGTTCTTTCAATCACACTATGGAAGACACTTCAGTCCTTACCCTGTCTTTTGCTGCCCTGAATTTCCTTTGTACTCATTCTTCTTCATCTCCATAGGACCTCTGTACACTGAACGAGGGGGGCTAGGACAGAACACCAAGTCCGATCACCTTCACTCCCATAGCTGCTGTAGCAGTGACTTTTTACTCATGAAAGCTGGATCAGAAGGAACAGGGCCAAACCAGCAGTCCTGAACTACGACTTTTTCCAAGCAAGAGCAAAACAGGAATTTCATCTTGGAGGTAAGTGCAGAGATACACCAATAATACAGGCTTTGAAATATCACATAACAGCTCTTAATGCCTTTCACACTTACTGTCTTTGATGTGGTCAATGAGTTACAGACAAAAAAAAAACAGTGTTCTCAGTAAAATTCTTCCCTTTCCTTCCTTTCCCACCTAAAATGAGATGCCTTCTGCCCCGTCTTGCTTTGGTGTAAAACACCCCATGGGAAAATCATCGGGGGAACTGATTGTTGCAGAACAGCCTAGGGTTCAGGAACAAGCAACAGCCTCTTCCACAGCAAAACTACTTCCTAACAAGATTGTTGAAAAGGAAGTATCTGGGTTTTTTAAACTGATGCTTTAGCTTGCATTCCTTGCCACCAGGCACCCAGTTGACTCTACATTCACAGGCCAGGTGCCCCTCAGCTCCTTGACTGCAAGTGCTCAGACTGTCCTTCACACGCTCCCCACCTCTCTGTGTGCAAGAATATACAAATATAATCCCCTCTCATCTCCTGGTTTGCACTCTTTGCTTTCACATGCTGAAAACTGCCTGTCTGAAGTTGGACAGGACAGTTGTACATGATATAAGGTGGTGGGATCATTTTCAGTAAGCAAAGAAACAGCTGTAAAGACAAAGTGCTAATATCTAAAAACTGAAAATACGCAATGAGTGCTTTTGCTTGTAGCCACAGTCACAGGGTAAAGAGAAACAGTCTGGGAGGTTGTTATGGAAACAAGTCCCTGGAGGTGCCTACTTTGCTTCATGAGGATGTGCTCTGCCTTCAGAAGGAAACAGCTAGACAGATTTGGATTCTGGACATCCAGGAGTGAGTGCTAAGGACTGAGAACTTGAGGTAAGATTTTTGAAAGTGACACTGTGATTTGACGACATGAGTCCTCTGTGAAGCCAGTGGCAGAGGTGCCACTAAGTCCCATCAATCACTTGAAAACAAAATCCGAAGGCTCCTTAATGAAAATGTTGAATTCCAGAACTTCTATAGCACAGAGTGTTATTGACGACTCTGGGATTTCACTGCCTTGATTTTCAGAAGGTGCTCAGAGAAGGATTTGCATGGCTAAATGGAAGTCTCAGGGTTAGTTTCCAAGCTTCTGTTGGCTTTTTGTATTTCTCTTGGCTCTAACACAGAAAACCCAGGGAGCAAACACCATTCCTGTTTTCACATTTTCATTTACACTTTCTTTTCAGAACTGAAAAATGTGAATGGCAAAAAAGTACACAAAGCTGCCTGGTTGCAACAGAGCTCCTTTGCATCAGTGCTTTGGGTGTGCATCTGTACACATGCATGCATTTGTATGGACATTTTCAGAAACTACAACACTTCAGCTACAAACTCACTGCTGAATTTCACCTGAGAGCAAGAAATTTCTTTCCAAGAGCATTTTTCTTAGACATGCTGGGATTATGCTACCAGTAATGTTATCTCTAATCTTTCCTTTTGCCAGAGCCTCTGTGCCCAGGCATCTGTCATGCTGGCTGAAAGAACAACCTGTTATGAGCAGGGAGGGCTCCTGCCTGGCAGGGGCAACAGGGTCAGGCCCAAGGGAAGAAATGAGCACAGGAATTTTCTGACGTAGGCTCCTCCTGATCTTGTGCTTAACCTGAGTTTTTTATATCTTACTTTGGGGAAACTTTTATCAGCTGACACAGGCATAAAATAACCCCAAACATGGGCATTCTGCTAGGAGACAGCAGGAGCCTTGAAACATCCCTCTTAAATAGCAGGTTCTTTTGCTAGTTTCTAGAACATCTGCTTGAGCAACACAAAACGTGAAATGAAGTCATTCCCATGCACTCACAGAAAAGATTTCTTTATAGTGATCCTGAAATACAGCTAAGAACAACAGCCTTTTACTAAGTAAACTCAGCGACCAAGACAACTTTTTACATAAAATCAATAGACATACACCACCGTGCTGATCCTTTCTCAGTCCCACTTACTCACCAGGATTACTTAACCACCAGCTGGTTACATGCTTCAAGGGATGCAGAATGGCTCCCAAAGCCCAGACCTTCAGGCATTTGCCTCAGTCCCAATGAAACAAAGAGGAATTAGGCACCTACACATTCAGGCAAACTCCTCATCACATCATATATGTCTCCCAGACTGACCTGCAGTAACTGAGACAAGTGACATTTTGCTACTGATTTCAGAGAGAGAGAACAGATATTTTAATATAAAGGTTGTGCATTGACCCCAGGGGAGATCCCTGAACACTAAAAACCTCTGAGAAGACAACGGGACTCTGGAGAAATACAGCAGTTAAGATTTACACAAACAACTTCTACCGTATGATCAGAGCCCAGATGAAGAGAAGACACAATAAAAGCACTCTAGGCATGGGGCCAGATCTCAAGACAACAAAAACCAAGCAGGATAACAAAGATGAAAACAGACTGAATCTCACAACCAGTTCTATAGCCTATTCTGACTATATTACAGTATAGTCCTTTAGCATTCTTAGTCTTATGGTTGAAAAGCATAATATAAAGTGTATTCTATATATTTTCCATCTTGATAGTATGTCTGGTTTATGTATTACATGAGTCACATGCAATATGTAGTACATTCTAATACGCATATCACACAGTATGATGCAAGGCATTAATGGCTGCCTTTGCTTTCATACACATGCACACATGTGAATGCAGAGTATACACTTAGATTTAAAACAACAAAGACTTTCCCTTGCAGGCAAATTTGCCAATAGAATCTGAAAACATCCATTTCTCCTTCTCACCCACTGGCAGCTTTTGAAACACTCTAAGGTTTGGGGTAAGGCAGAGCTGATTAAAAAAACCTAAAATGATCTGGGAAGCAAAATGTGCATTTTAAGATGCAACCCCTTGGTCCCTTGGCAAACCCAGCACTGCAGGGCAAGTTACGCATTTTGCATTGCTAGCATAGATGGCTCTCATAAAACCTAGTTCATGCAAAAGACATTCCTGTGCCTTCTGTCCATGAAATACCAAGAACTGGCTAGATGAGTAATGCAGCAAAAGCATGTCTCCTAGGCTAGCTGTTTCTCCCCTCATTTGAAAGGTCTGGGGTATGCTGTTGGGTTTGTGCAGATGGCTTAGGGAAGTTTGTATCTGTGCCAATTTCAGTCTCAAATGCTGACACACTTTACCCTGGGGCATTTTACGCTTGTGACCCTCTAAATCAGTGCAGGCTTTAGACAGCAGAGGTGCAGCTGTCTGTGGTCCAGGATTTTAGCCATGTCAACAAAATACCAACAGGCAAACTTCCCTAACCTATACAAATGCTTCAATAAATCCACAGTGAAGTCAATTGCTCTCACATGCCTGACTACAGAACTGAGTATCTGAAGCACAAAGCACATTTCATTAAACAATATTGTGTGGAGATAACAAATGAACTTACTCAAATGTGCCTTGCTTCAGAAGGCACTTACCACTATGAAGATTAAGTTGGTACAATAAAAGCCAAGTAACATCAGGGCACTGACAAAAATATGGCTGAAATAAGCTGAAAAACACAGAGAATCTTCACCAAGCCTGTTGATTTCTATAAGCCTGTTTTTGATAAATCATACATGGTCACAAGTAGCAAAGAGCTTTTAGTTCTATGCATCTTTTTTGAAACACAAACCAAGAGGATCTTCAGCATGCCAAGTGTTGCAAAGAAGGCAGGCATCTACTTGCTGACTTTCTCTTACAGCTGCAGAACTCACTGTGATGCTGGATACAGCATTTCCATTATTCAAAGGCAATGGCATGGCAGGCGTGACTTATTCCACAGCCAAGGGCACTGCACTGGCACAGGAACCATGGGCACAGCTCGAGGCAGATGTTTGTAGCCCCTTTAACTGTTTACTCCCTTCTAAATCCTTCAGCTGAAGTAGTGTTAAGGGCTTCTCTGCTAGCGGAGTAGACAGGCAAAGTTTCACCGCAAATGGTGAATTAAAGCAGTCTTCAAAAACAGAGAAAGAAATTCACAAGGGAGTGGCGGATGACAGTTAGCACTCCACAGAATAAAGCAAGAACATTTCTGGCTGCACATGGTAATGAGAAACAGCAAATCAGGACAGAAGAGCCCATTATCACGATCATTCTGTTTACAGTATCACAGTTCACAGTCTGGCATGTAAATGCTGAATAGATCCAGCTGCTAGTAAGAAGACGGCTGTGCAGCAGCTTGCAGCTCCATGTCTGGACCCAGGCTAACAAAACTGATCACACTTCTGTCAGCATTTTCTTCTCTTTATAACCCTGGTTGTTGGGAGGAATGAAGTTGGAATATTTCATGGACTCCAGGTCTTCTGCTTCCAGGAATTCAGATTTGCTCAGAGATTGATTACTGTCCCCCTTCTTGGGCTCAGAGAAGGGTGACTGCTGTTGGCCACAGGTGACATGGGTGTACTGGCACTGCTCTTCATGATCAGTCTCTCGGTGGTAGAAGTAGTTGAAGTTGGACACGATGACAGGGACAGGGAGGGCAATAGTGAGCACACCTGCGATGGCACACAAGGAGCCCACAATCTTGCCGCCAATTGTCATGGGATACATGTCACCATAGCCCACGGTGGTCATGGACACCACGGCCCACCAAAAAGCATCAGGGATGCTGGTGAACAGGGAGTCAGGGTCATCAGTCTCTGCAAAGTAGACAGCACTGGAGAAGAGGATCACCCCGATGAACAGGAAAAAGATGAGGAGGCCCAGCTCCCTCATGCTGGCCTGGAGGGTCTTCCCCAAGATCTGCAGCCCCTTGGAGTGCCTGGAGAGCTTGAAGATCCTGAAGACTCTGACCAAGCGGATTACTCTGAGGATGGCCAGGGACATGGCTTGCTGCTGGCCCCCATTGTTGCTGCTGCTCCCAGGCTGCTGCTTCTGTTGTTGCTGCTGGGCCAGCTCGGTGCCCAGGGTGATGAAGTAGGGGATGATGGCCACGATGTCGATGATGTTCATGATATTGCGGGAGAACTCGGGCTTGCTGGGGCAGGCGAAGAAGCGGACGAGGAGCTCAAAGGAGAACCAGATGATGCACAAGGTCTCGATGAGGAAGAAGGGGTCGGTGAAGAAGGGTCCGGCGCCTGCGGCAGTGCGCAGGGGCGGCGGAGTCCCGCTTGGCGCCGCCGGCGGTGGCAGCAGCGCCTCGTCGCCGGGCGGCGCCGCTTCCCCAAAGCCGGGCTGGGGGCCCTTGGGCTCCTGCCGAAACTCAGGCAGGGTCTCCAAGCAGAAGATAACGATAGAGATGAGGATGACCAGCACGGAGACAATGGCGATGGCCCGGGCTGGCCCTGAGCTCTCGGGGTACTCAAAGAGCAGCCAGACCTGGCGCTGGAAGTGATGCTGTGGCAAGGGCTTCTCCTCCTCTTGAATGAAGCCCTCGTCCTCCCGGAAAGTCTCAATGGCCTCCTGGCCCAGTTGGTAGAAGCGGATCTCCTCCAGGAAGATGTCGAGGGGCACATGGACCGGCCGGCGGAGCCGCCCTCCGGACTGGTAGTAGTAGAGGATGGCGTCGAAGCTGGGCCGGTTGCGGTCGAAAAAGTACTCGTTGCGGAGCGGGTCGAAGTAGCGCACCCGGCGGCTGGGGTCGCCCAGCAGCGTGTCGGGGAAGATGGAGAGGGTCCGCAGCTGCGTTTCGAAGCGCAGCCCCGAGATATTGATCACCAGCCGCTCGCTGCTGCAGCAGCTCCCGCCGCTCCGCTCCTCGCCCGGCGCCTCCGCCTCGCCGCCGCCCGCCCGCGGGGCCGCCAGCGCCAGCGGCTCCTCCGCCCGCATCCCTCCCGCTCTGCCCCGCTCTGCGCCACCGACTCGCCCAGCTTCGCTTTCAGCGGGCGGTCTCGCCGCTGGCCGCCATCGCCCGCCGCCACCCCTCCTGTTGCGCCTCGCTGTGGCCGCGCTCGCCCGGCGGCTCGGTGGGGCTCCCTGCGCGGCGCAGCTCCTCCTCCGGCCGCGGTCCCGGCTTCGTCCCCGGCGCGCTGCTGCACGGCGCTACCGCCTCTGCCCTCGCTGCCGTGCACACACACACACACACACACACACACACACACACACACACACACACACACACACACACACGAGAGGGGGGGAGAGAATGTGGAGGAGAGGGAGGTGTGCGAGTAACACACGTTACACAGAGGCAGAGGAGAGGTACACGCAGCCACACACCGAAGGACAGAGGCAGGCAGATAGAGGCAGCTCCAGCACGGACACGCTCAAATACAGAGAGATGCACGCACCCACCCGTGGAAGTGCGCTGACGCTGGTGCTCGTACCCCTTCCCCGGACCTCGCCGCGGCAGCTCCCGCCAAGCCTTTGGGGGTTACCCCCCGAGGGGAGCCCGCTGCGGGCTGCAGCTCTCCGGACGGGAGCTTCGCAACAGCTTGCCCAAAGGGTGGCACCTCACCCGCCCTCCTTCTCCCCCACCTTCCTTCCACCTGGAAAACCTGCCCCGGCCCTGCAGCCAAAACCCCGACGGGGACTGTCAAACGCCGCCGGCTCCGGTCTGTGCTCAGGGCTCAGCCGTGGGTCTCTGTTGCTCCTGTCCGTGCCGGAGGCTGTAGTTGACCTTGAGCCAGTCACTCCATGCCGGTGGCTCGCGAACCTCCCTTTATAAATGTCATTGCCATATGATGTAACCGCGACAGTGGCATCAGACCATCCACAGATGGAGACAACCTGTCACACAGTGAACAGTGCAGCTGGGGAAAGACACAGGTAAAAACAGCTTCTCTCCTCTCGTTTGGGGTGGATGGAGTTTGCTCCTTCTCCAAGGTACCATGAGCTTGCTCATTTTTTTGTTCATCACCACACAGCGTTTAGTCTCCCTGGGAGCCAAAACTGCATTTCACAGGCAATAAGGCTACCAGCTATTTTGGCTTTAGAAACCTGTGGCTTGCTACGTCCCTGTCATGCTTGGCATCTAAAAGAGAGAGACTAAAGACAGTGTTCTTTCTTCCTCTGAAAATGGGGCTAACAGGTGAGGCTGCTTCCATCCTTTGCAGGACAAAAGCCTTTCTTTCCCTTGAATGCTCTTTGTCGGTGCTAAATATTATTAACCAGGCTTTTAGCATCATAGTATCTGATGCCTTTGCTGGCTGTGAGCCATATGCTTAGCCTACACTATGTCTTAGCAGCGCAGATCTAGAAGAAAACATTCCGCTCATTACCCCTCCTCCCAGTTCCTCCCTAACTAGCTGGCAATATTCAGTTACTACAGGCTCTGGACATTTTGACCAGCTGACTATGGCTATCTTGTCTGGCTCTGTCCTCAGGAAGGAGGTGAATATACTCTTAATTCTTTTTCCTTTCTCACTCATTAGCACTGAAGATGGCTGTTGCAAAATGAAGCGTATTTTTTCATTTACATGAAGATGGCTGTCACACAGGGAAGCATATTTTTCTTTCATATTATACATAATTAGGGTATGGTAGTCAGATGAAAAAATACTTTGCTGTAGAATATACCTTTTCCTTAGAAAAAAAGAATCAGTATTTACCTTTGTAATAGTAAAATGCTTCTTGCTGAGATTCCTTTTGCAATTATTACAATGAATTATTCATTCAGACAATTATTTGAATCATTATTATGATTTATTCATTCATGTGGTTAACTATTGAAAAATCCTTTAAAAACCGCTTTTGTGAGGGATGGAAAATCTCCTGAAGTTTATAGGAGGATAGAAAGCATGTCTATTGCAATCACTGCTGTGATTGAGCTCATTCTGCACTGAGTTTAAACAAGCAGGATTATAGCAGCATAGCAGAGACAGCATGAAGCTCTGCAACGGTTTGCAGGACAGTTTTCCAGCCCACGCAGACATTTCATGCTGCCACAGCTCTGGTCTTCACGTTACCTGAGCTAGCAGTGTTTCAGACGGCTGAAGTGTTTCCATGTGAGCTTCAGCCCTGCTCAACTCCTACTGTGGTCCATCTCAGAGTAAAAATGCAGGCTGCCATATATTACCTCTGCTTGCTCCTGAAAGCCCTGGAGAAGCCACTGTATTTCCCTCTGTGTACTTCAGCCTCAGTATTAAACCCATGAGCCTTTGCAACATGCAACTACACTCATTTTAGCACACAGCCTGTTCCCAAACTGCTCTCTCTGCACTACACTGCCTGTGCAACCACACCCCTCACTTCTATATTAAGAGGCGATGCCAGCTGCCACCATTCAGCCTCCATGCAGATCTTGCTGGGCCAGCATCTTGCAATGGTACACAATTTGCAAAGTTGGAGAAGAACAAGGGAGATCCAGAGATGTCACGGAGAGGCAAGAGGGCAAACCTGAAGCAGCACTCCAGAAAGCCACACAGCAGTACCATAACACTCTCTGTGGAGTGATATGGCTGCTAGTTTGAAGCCAACACCACAAGACCAGTGGCACCTTCAGGTGGCACTAAGCTTCTCTTTGAGGTAGTGGCTGTGTTCACATCTCCAAGCTCATGTATGCTATGTTCAAGAGTTTATGATGGCCATATCCTCCCCCAAGCTATATCAGTCACTGATGTGATGTGCACAGAAACCTCTTCATAGATACATGGGGAAAATTGTTTCTGACTCTAGCACAGCAAGACACCTGATTCTAGGCTCTCGTCCTACTCCAGAAGCTGGAGGGAAGTTGCCTCCCCCAAGCATGGTCCTTATAGATGCTTGTCAATCTGCCACATGGCAATTCAGCTTCAACAAGCCAAAGAATTTCTTGGATGTCTTCTGCATCCCGAGTGTGGGTCAGCATTTTGAGTAACGCGGTGACCCTTTGGATTCCATTTAGCTGCCTTTCGCTGAACTAGTGTTGATGTTCAGAGAAAGGGAATATCAACATGTTGATGTTCTCTCAACATGATGTTGATGTGCGCAGTACTTCAGCCACCATAAAATTATGAGTACATAGCATTTTCTTAGGAAAGCCAAGCTCAGAGACCCTCAAGGTAAGCACTCCAAAACTAACGTACCTCAAGTGGGTATCTGCATTTTTGTCTAGAACATGAAGAACTTCTTATCCACTTCCTGCCTTTCTGGATTTTCCAGTCTGTCTTCTGAACTTTCCAATTGTCTCTTCCATAGCTGCTGTACTATCCCTATCTCTTGCTTCCCACATTTTCCCAGTTATGGACCATCTCCTCCCGCTGACCCTACTAGTTTCTTCACTCTCTTGCAGGCCAGTGGAGCCCAGTATCAAAGTCAGTATATTTTTCATATCCCTTTTCCAAAATTCCTACTGGGACTGAAGGTGGTGGGACTGAGCACTGAAGGTGGTGGCTGACTGCCTGGCTCACTGAAAGGAGGCTGAGCAACCAGGAGAACATGTTGAACTCTTGTAATACCATATCAGATGAAGAGAGCAGAAGAAAATCAAACAATCCTTCATACCTGCAGTGACTCTAGTGAACTATGGATCTCTGAAATCACGCATCAGCACCTTAACATGCAGCTTAGGAGGTACAACATAAACTGCTCCATGCTTGAAAGCCCTGAGGTAGAATTCATCTCCCAGGAGCCAAAATATTATGCAAGTAAAACAAATCCCAGTGGTTTAACAAGAGCAATAGACTGGGAAATTTAAAAAATGTAATAGCTGGCAGAGCATCCACATTGGAAATGGTCATTTATATTTATCCATAGTACCAATTACAGCCAACTTCATACCTCCCTTCTTACTCAGAGTCATAAATCTATACGTGAGAGTGCTAAACAGGATAGGAGAGAAGAATTAGCTTATGCTCTGAAGCTGTGAGCCACACCGCTCAAAAACAGAAGTTCTCCTGTTTTATTCTCTTAACCAGAAACCAGGAACAAACCTGTCTGTTCACTAACACCCTTCCAGTCATCAGGCAGCCAACTGGTATCAAATGTTAATGGCCAAATTCTTTGGTGCCTTCAGCCTCTTTACACTAGTCTGAAGTCATAGGACCGAAATGTTGCTTTCTTCACGTGGTAGAATGCTGGATACATGCTAGGAAAGAGGAGAGACTTTGCTGAATATGGGAAATGGAACGTTGGCTTTTGTATTCACATTAAACTGTAAGAGGGAGGAAAACATATGAAGAATTCTCAATTTATGCAAATGCAAATCTCAAAGCATCAGATGGCAACAGTGTGAGTAGGGTTTGGGCATCTAACATCACCCATGTACCCATGAAGCTGCATTTTTCACCATTGCCACAACAGGCAGTTACAAGACTTCCCATTTTTCCCCAGACAGAAGGAATGCTGACTGTTCCCTGATAGGAAAGCATTCATCCCAGTTCTGCTGTCTGCTTTCATTCTTCCATATGAAGTTCCCTCCTTTCCCCGTTAGTTACACATTTCAAGAAAAGCCAGCAGACTTGAGTGGAGATGTTATTATAGAGATATAACATCAGTCATAGCACAATGAATTCACATGTATGCACACACACATGTTCACACATGCACATTTGAACTGTCTCCCTGTAGCATTAAGATTACAGCTATAATTTTATAACAAAGCAGTGTATAGTTTCCAATGCTTACACGTTTACAAAATGCTATACAGGCTGTCTTTACACTATGCTTTGAATAGGTTGCTTGTGCTACTGTTAACTGGTGGAGGAAGAATTACACTTTTGTGATAAGCTGAAGATGAAAGTTTCATTCACTATATCACCCAGGACTATTCCTGGAGCACAATCTTCTCTGTGCATTGAATGAAGACAGGTCCTTGTACTTGCAAAAGATAACACCACTGTGTAACTAAAAACTGTGTTACAATACTGTGATAAAGGGAGAAGGAGAAGGGAAAGCAGGTTGTACCGGAAACTTTCATGCAAGCATTTCCTAGCTTTCAGGTACTTACCTCTGTAAACCTAAAGTGCTTTTAATGCTGTGGTTATCTTGGACTTTCAAAAAACTAAGACTGAAAATAAATTCCCCAAACTTTTATCCTATCAATGAGTAACTTTTAAACTTCTTTTAAACCTCTATTTCCAAACCCCTTAAGTGTTTTACACACAAAGCTGTTTTTTCTTGAATGCCTTTCATAGGGAGACCCCTTAGAAGTGTTTCAGGGAC